GGAACAAGTCTTCAGTTTTGGCCCAACAACGAAACCCAGTAAGGAGGAGACTAGGGTAGACCAAGACCACGGGAGTCGCTCGGTCACACACGGGGCCACGCCGCCACGCGCGATTCTTTCGCCTTCCGCCTCCTGTTCCGCCATTCGTATCACGCGTCGGCGCCGCCACCGCCACTCCTGCCTCCCGCCTCCTGCTACACCCCGCGGCGGCGCAGCCCCCGCTTGCCGGCGCCCGGCAGCCGCCGTCGCCCTCGCAGGCAGGCAGGGCCGAGCCTCGCCCCTCGGCTGCCACCTGCCAGAGCCCCCTGTGTGAAGGCAGTTGTGAAGCCGTGAAGGTATTTCTTCAATTCTTCGGTTCTTCTCTTTATTTACTTCAAGTAATCTCTCCTAGTTTTGATTTTAACTGCTAATTATGAGCTTTTGATTCCAATTAGATGAAGAGGACAAGACTATTGCATCATATTTCTCTCGAGTTGCTGAACAAGAACACCAAACCATCCATCCTCTATCTCCTCCACCGCCAGATCTAGAGCAAGAGCAAGGAAGCATCCAACCTCCTCCAGCGCCATCTCAAGGTGCAGAACAAGAGTCACTAGGACTGTCTCCAATAGGTGATCCATATGGGCACCCAAACCTAAAATAGGTAGCAGGAGACTCAAAATCAGTCTTCAACAGAGTACCTATACGGGAGACCTATTTTGGATTGTCTGGTAGGCACAACCCAAATATGAGTATCATCTTTCCTGGAAACCCATTTGCAGAAATATTCTTTTTTGGGTCCTGTTGTTGGAGAGGATGTCGAATGGGTATTGAACCCTTTGACTATAGCGCTATCCAAACGTTGAATGGGTCTTATATTTTAGGTGTTGTTGTTGAAGATAGTCTAAGGATCAGAGCTAGTGTAGTAGATGTAGATTTGAGCCAACCAACTGTAGAACTAGACCAAACTAGTTTGCTTGAGAATATTTGTTTTCCGTGTATATATATATATATATATATATATATATATATATATATATATATATATATATATATATATATATGGCTCCGTATCGTATGCAAACCAAGGTTGCTGTGCAACCTTGGAAACTTCCGTTTCAAACCATCGATCTGAGATCCAGTGGCTACGGAGAGAGGTGGGGTAATTTTACGATTAAACGCTGCTTGACCCTCATCCGTTTTGCAAAAAGACCCCATCTTCCTTTCCCCCGCCGAGACCCCATCTTTCTTTTCCCGTCGCTCTTTCTTCTCGCCCAGGCTCCTCCGTTCAGCGGCGAGGAGGAGCGCCGAGGAGGGCGCCTCGAGAGAGAGCCGCCCCTGCGCGCGCCCGAGGAGGAGCTGCTGCCTGCGCGCCCCTCCACCGGCCCGCTCACGTCGCCGCCGCCGCCTCTCAAGGCCATGAGTCCTCCGCCAGCCGCCGAAGGAGGAGCCGCCAGAGGAGCACCCCGGAGGAGGCCGCCTTGCGCGCTTGCCCTCGCGCCGCCCGCCACGCCACGCCGCCGCTCACAGCTGCGCGCGCCACTGCAGGCCACGGCGACCCGCCTCTCCTTCAACTGTACCCCGACGCCGCGGTCCATTACCAGGCTGCTCCGCGCTGGGCCACGCGACCCGCCTCCACCTCGCCTGCCACGACCAGGATCAACCTCGCCCGCCACGACGCCGTGTCGGAGGCTGCCCGGCCATGCTCAGAGCTGTGTTGCCTGTTTCAGTGCTCGAGTTGCGCCTTCTGTGTGTAATGCCTGAAAGTGCAGGGCTCAGTGTTGTTTTGGTGATCTGTTTGCAGGACTCGAGTTGGTGATCTGTGTAATGCTAATGGAAATTGTGCCTTCTGTGTGTAATGCCTGAACAAAAGGATGTAACCATGTGAATTCTGTGTTCTGAAGATTGAAATAAAATTGATTTGAGCATGTGTTCAGAATTATGTGCTGTGTGCATGGATTCAAGCAAACAAATTCAGAGTCTTCCTGTATCAAGCAAACAAATTCAGAGTACACTGACAGTGGTTCTGTTTCTAAAAAGCAAAACACAAAGGATACTTTCAGAAAGCATGAAGCTATTAACACTAGGAATGATCATGCATTGTAGCAAACTTGAAATATAAGCCAACCACATTGTTTGGGCAATTACGGGCGTCATGATCCACTAATTGCTTGCATTTTCCACACATCCGTTTTCTTGGTGCCTTCTTCTCCTTGCCCTTTTTAATTCTTTTGCATCGCCCTCTCGAGTTGATATCATTTGGTGGATGTATCTCCACTTCTTGTGGGATTTTGCCACCAAGGAATGCTTCAAACTCATCTTGTTTATTAACTGTAGCAGCAGGAATGATATTTTGGAGAGGTTCTACAAGGTTTGCTAAACTAGAATATAAAAATTCCATTCCTTGTTCAGAGTTTTTGACCATCTGGATAAGATCTTCAAACTTGTTGCGTGAATCTGAAATTTTTCTCCGCATGGCCACCTCCATAGGATCTTTAGCTTTTTCATCGAGAAGGTTACCTTCGTCATCGAAGAAGAGTTCTCTATGAAAATAAAGATCCGATCAACACTATTGCACATACAAAATAATTTTTGAATAGAAAATAAATCAGCCGTGTCAACTCACCTTTTACACCTTTTGTCCCACCTCTTCATAAAATAAATCGATGGTATCTCATTTTGCTTCTCGCCTCTAAGCACTTGGATGATATGACGGCACGGGATGCCATAGGACTCATAAAATTTACAGGAGCACATACCAAACATGTTTGACTTGTTCATCTGAACCACTCGCTCTTTTCCAGATAGGCCGCTGATGGTGACAGTTTTCATATCTTTAGACTCCGAAATCCCTTGAATAATGCAATGGTCTCTTGCAACTATGAGTTGTTCCTGAAACTTGCTGAAAATTTCATGAGTATATACGACACTACATTGCTTCTCCATGGCCCATGGTGTCATCAATTTAGGATTGGTGTGACGACTTTTATTGTCGGCTATCAACTCCTCTTGGCGCTGGCACTCAAAAGCTGTGTCAAACCTTAGCCAAAACTCAACAAAGGATAACTTTCGATGAATGAAACGGTTAAAAAAAGAATTTGCACTCTCCGATCGTGATGTAGTCCTAAGAAGTCCTGCTAGAGGTATGTCCATAAAGTATGCTGGAATCCATGATTCTCGAATGTCAAACTTTGCGGAAAACCACTCATTTCCAATGAGCTCATACTTTATCATGATAGAATTCCAAACTCACTTGAATTCTCAGAGCCCCAAACACACTTGTTTAATACTTCCCAGAATTCCTCATTATTTCTTATGGTGGGCCCAACCTTCTCAGCGTGCAACCAACATTTTCACATCCACCATCACTGACTTGGAGAAGGCGAAATGCCTGGGACGTGCCAATGCTAGCCTTATGACAGTTGAACAAAGTACTCTTTGCCCTCTCACTAACACAACGGTTGGATCTTAGCAAGTGCCTCTTATCTAGCGACACAAAACCATGGTTGTGCTCCTCAAACATTGAAAATATTCGATACTTCTTGTCACTACCAAGCTTAACAACAATATGTGCCTCACAGCCACATCGGGTTTCCACCACATTTGATGTCTTCCTTTTTTTCCCGGATTGATCACTAACATCGTGTACCTTCTCCTTTCTGTACCCTTCCCTTGAGCAAAAAAACCTCTTGTAAAATATTTCCTCATTTTGCTTCTTGTGTTGACCAACACGAACAGAGAAACCAACCGTGTGCATAGTCCTTGTAAAAGTTCTCCACGCGTCTGTGAGTGTATCAAATGTCATTCCAACCATAGGCTTCGAATGTTCTTTGCAACTATCTGCTATATTAGGAGAAGAGGTTGCCCGTGGTGTGCTTGGTTCTTCAAGGTAGGCTCCAACTCCGGCATCGACGTCCATGATGGTCATGCCGGCATTATCCATCTTGGTGGCCTCAAAGGACGCAGAATCAACGACGATCGCAGGTTCACCATCCGCGGCATGCGGGGATGTTAGCAATGATCCTACTCAAGATGAAAGTCAAGACGACAGCCTTATAGGAGGGCGAAAACGAACCTGCATCGGGCAAGGCGCGCCGTCGGGCAGCATCGGGCGGCGTTCGTGGGCAGCATCGGGCGGCGTTCGTGGGCAGCATCTCCGAGTCCGGCGGCCGGTGAGTCATGATGAGGAGCGGCAGCGGCAGTAGAGTCGAAGAGATGCGCAGCGCATACGATACGAAGATGGACCGGCGGCGGCTGACTTCGACAAGACTGGAGCGATTAGGGGGCTTCGATTCTACTGGAGCATCGGGCGATTAGGGGGGTCATTTGGAAAACAAAACACAATTACTAGTGCCTGGCGGGCTGTTAAATGTAAAAAAGTCCCACCTCTCTCCACAGCCTTCGGATGAGCATCATGGGGTCCAAATCATTAGTTTGCAAAGTTTGCACAAGTATGGTGGTTTGCATACGATACGGAGCATATATATATATATATGTGTGTGTTTTTTTTCCTATAGATTATACAGTAGGCTGTAGCTTTTGGATTTTGGCCGCCAGGATTTGGCCTGGGTCCGCCACCGACAGGGCAGCAACATACGAGCTGGACGTCTCTGCTACTGGGTGCGCTACCTACTCCGCCATCCGAGAAGAGAAGCACTGGGAACAACTCATTCAGAGCTGTCAGGTGAGTTCCCTGCGTAACAGTGAACTCAGAAACGAAACGGAAGAAAGGTTGCACAAGTTTTCCTTCAAGTTCAGAAGCCGGAACGTAACACTACACACTACAGTAGCCGAGAAGCTGCTGTACTCCCAAGTCTCCAACATCTACTAGCAAAAACACCGCCAAAAGTGAGGTGGCGATTACTTCAGCAACATTCGCCGTTTCAGATTGATTTCAGATGAATCAATCCGCCAAAGTGGTTACATCTCACGCCTGATGCAGATTACAGTCTCAGCGCAACCTACGGTTCAAATGGCGACCCTGACACGCCACACCTGCCTAGTACGATTGTACGAACGAATCAATCCGTCGGGCGCGTCAGCCACAGGGAGCTGAGCGCGCGGAGCCGCGAGAAGTAGTCGCTGACGACGAGCAGCGCGCGCGCGGCCTGGCGCGTCGTCAGGATCCGGTGCACCTGCTTCAGCGTCTGCTGCCGCAGCAGGTCGGCCTGGCGGAGGAAGTTCTCCACGGTGGCGAGCTTGCTCATGGCGACGGCCATCTGGCCCATGTAGTTGGTGACGCTGTCGGCGGCGGACGCGGCCGGGCCGGGCGCCGGGGCGGCGGCGGCGGCGAGCGTGTCCCCGAGGGCCTGCTGCAGGGCCTCCATCCCCTGCGACAGCGCGTCCTCGGCCTGCTGCAGCGACTGCTGCAGGCTGCAGATGCCCACCAGCTGCTGCTCCGTCAGCTGCGGCTCCACCTGCCGCGCCACCACCTTGAGCAGCTCCGACGACCGGAACCCGCCCAGCCACATGAAGAAACGCTCCGCGGGGCTCATCCACATGCCCGACAGCACGTGGAACACGTCCGTCCTGGTGGCCACGCCCTTGAGCCGGAACATCTCGTCGTAGTGCAGCATCACGCCGTCCACCAGCACGCCCAGGTCGTCGTCACCGATCTGCGCGCTCAGGGCCACCCGGAGGTCGTTCATGTGGTGCTGGTGCTCGTCCAGCCACCGCGCGTACTCCAGATCGAACGCCAACGCGCCTGCAACAGGATGGCGACACAGATTAGACTGACTTTGCACAGGATCAGAATCCATTCAGAATTGCCATGTATAGATGCCTGTATATATGTACAGAAACAAGAGCTGAACAATGTAAAAGATCATTTGCCTCCGGTGGAACCGCCATGATCCCCGGAGCGTCCACTTGCAATGAACATCCCCTGTATCATAGTTATACCAAAGCCCATAGACAATCAGTGACAAAGTATATACTGTATTTTTTTCCCTTCAAAAGACAGATCAGGAGTTCACCTGCTGCCTTGCTCTTTGAAGCTCCTGCTCAAGGTGAGCCAGCTTGGACCGGCTGTTCTCCAGCTCCAAAATGTATGCCTACAGAACAAAATTGCACAATGCTTCAACAATCTTGCAAGTGGCAAGTGGCAACAGAGATGTACATTGATACAGTAAACTATAGACAAAACTCAGTAAACCAAGGCAGCATGCCTCCATTGTAGATTAGCACAGGCGCATGCATTGTTCAAGTCAATTCTCTGATAAGCATCAGGGAAAATTAAAAGAACGGTACTTTCTTATTTAGCAGACAGGTGTTGGTCAGTGGTTACCCCTGTTTAGTTAGGCCCTGTTTAGGCTTCCCAAAAATTTTCACCCCAAATTGTCACATCGAATCTTACGGCACATGCATGGAGTACTAAATATAGACAAAAAAAAAACTAATTACACAGTTGGATGAGAAATCACGAGACAAAACTTTACATAATTAAACACTAATTACCAAATACAAACGAAAATGCTAAAGTGTCCGAAACCAAAAAATTTCGCCATCTAACACGCGCCCTTAGCAACAACACAGGGTGGAATGCCATGCATAACAAAATCAAAATGTGCTCAAGCTTCCGTAAGGGATGATCACCTTCTTCCTCATCCGGCTTTTCCGGGCCGCCTCGCGGTTTTGCGCAAGCCTCCTCTGCGCCTGCCATGACACAGCATAAACCACAATCACATTTGCTACTCACAATGTGTTCACAAGACATGACATGGCATAGTGCACCTTGTGATCCCTCGATTCTACCTTGCACACCGGCAATGAGTTCTCGTGTCCGTCGACGCTCTGCGTGATGGCTCCACCCTACGACGGCGGCGGCGGCGGCGCAATCACATGTCACAGCATATAATCAGGTGGAGTTCATGGCAGGCATACTGCGCAAATCAAGATCAAAGCTGAGTTGAGATGAGCAGAGCAGACCATCTGCGCGTCGTGGTGGTGGTTGCCGCCGCTGACGTCGTCGACGTCGGTGGAGGCCGTCTCGGCGAGCGGGCTCGTGACGACGATGCCGGAGTCGCCCCAGTTCTCGAAGTGCGCCGCGGCCGGCGCCGCCGCCGCCCACGGCATGCAGAACCGGGCGTCGTCCGCCGTCGTCGTCACCCCCGGCAGCGCCATGCCAAACGGGACCGCTACTCCTCCATGCTGCACAGAGACAGAGAGAGCCTCCATCATTCATTCACACTCAAGAAGCCGCGCGAGAACGAATCGTCTTGAGCATGCAACAAAAGCTCAGTGAACTCACCGCGGCGGCGAGCGGCGGCATCAAGGTGGCGCAGGCGCTGAGGCTGCTGGAGGACTTGGAGCTGGGGTTGGGGCCTTCACATTAATCCCGCGATGCGCGTGCAACAGCCAGCCATGAGAACAGAGAACAAAGCGCGCGCATCCAAGAAAAAGGAAGGAAACAAATAAACAAGGCAGGGGCGTTACTGCGCTGGAGCTCGGGGAGGAGGATGGTGGCGCCGTCCCCGACGTGGTGGCGGTACCCGCCCTCGCCCTGCTCCACCCAGCAGCTGCAATGCAAATGCAACCACCGCGCCGCACGGCACGAGGCGGGGCCGCGCAAGGCAACAACACGTTAGCGAGCCGGACGCTTCGGTCCAAAGGGAGAGGGAGACAAACGCTCGCGCGCCGCAAGCGACACAAGGAGGGAGGGAGGCACTATTGGTGCTGCGCGCGTGGCACCACGTGTTGCCTTTACCGCTTATTACCTCATGAAGGCGTGAGATGACTGATGATGCATCGGGCACGCCGGCACGGGCAGGGATCACACCGGCGGCAAGGCGACGACGAGGAGGACGGGCTGCTGCGCCCGTGCACTGTGGACGGACGGATGTGAGCTAAGCTTGGCTACCGGAGACGAGGCCGACGCCCTGCATACGCGTCTGCTGCCGGGGATAAAGGGGAAGGAAGGAAGGAAGCAGGGGATGGATGGGGAGTGAGGATCGATGGAAAGATACGATCAGGGCGCGTCAATTTTGGTGTCAGGTCGGCTCATCCATCCATCCGCACATCCAATCCATCATTCAGTCCATCAGAGATCAGGCGTCAATCAGTCCTTTGCGATGGAGAAACGCAGGGTGGCAGGCAGCGACAGAGAGCACAGAGCAGCGGGCTTTTTGTACTCCATCTGACTGACGACACGCGTGGTTGCGTGTGCGCCGAGTTCCAGGCCTTGTTGCAAATTTTTGCAACCTAGATATTATACACGGTAGCATGTTTCGTTTGTATTTGATAAATTTTGTTCGATTATGGATTAACTAGGCTTAAAAGATTCGTCTCGTGATTTACAACCAAACTATGTAATTAATTATTTTTTTACCTATATTTAATATTCCATACATACGTTCAAAAATTAATATGATAAAAAAAAGTAAAAAAAATTTAGAGGTGATCTAAATAAGGCCCGGTGAGTGCTGGCAATGCCTCGCTCGAGGTCGAGGAGCCGAGCCCGAGCGGAGCGGCTGGAACAAGGAGAGGAAGTGCCAAGCCAAAGGGTGGGCCTGGTGACTGCGAGAGCACACTGTAATAGTGTAATGGCTCGATGTGATGGTGTGCGCCAGACCGCCAGTGGTAGGCTGGTAGCCGTTGTTGTCCGCTCCTGTGTTAGGGGGATACCGCTACCGCCCCGCTTTGACTGATAGTGGTACGTGAGCAAATGCATGTTAGTTTGGTGTTTAGTTTCTAAAATTTTACAAAATTTTTTAAGATTTTTGTCACATTAAATCTTTGACGTATGCATGAAGCATTAAATATAAATAAAAAATAAAACTAATTACATAGTTTAGACGAAATTCACAATACGAATCTTTTAAGTCTAATTAGACTATAATCGGATACTAATTACCAAATAACAACAAAAGTGCTACATTACCATTTTCTAAAAAATTTCGTCAACTAAACAAGGCCTTGGCTGATAAGTGATGTCGAAAATACGATAGACTCATTTGCTGTGGAAAAAAAATAATATTCATTAACTAAAAAAGTACGATTTATAAATCAAACGGACAGCGCAAAAGACAAAGGTAGAGCAGGGTGACACCTGAGACACGGTCAAGAGGTACTCCCATTCTAAAAAACGTAATTTCAATTTGAATCAAATTCAGAAATTTCTAAATCTAACTAAATTTATAAGAAACAGGAAATATTATACCTTCAAATAAGTTAACAATAAAAATATATTCCACAATTAATCTAACAACACCTATTCGTTATTATAAATATTAGTCTTTCACATATAGATTTAGTTAATAAAACTGTTTGAACTTTTAAAAACTTGAATTTTTTGACAGAGGGAGTACACTCGCCCTAACGAAACGTACTCTTGCGGTTTACTATTTGAACAAGATAAGACCTGTATGAAACGCTAGATTTTTTTTATATGTATTATACTACCTCTGTTTTAGTGCTTCCTGTTTGACCAAGTTTCTAGTATATTTATGGCTACGATGCCAGCTAAAGTGCTTCACATTTGATAAAGTTTCTAGTGTGTTTATGGCACCAAATCAATTTGTTATGAAAATACACTTCGTCCTTAATCTAATGGTATTTCTTTGATATTATATTTTTATCTATAATTGTTAAATTTAAGATACTAAAACATGATACTATACTAGAATTATATTTTTTTTGACAGAGAGAGTATATATGATTGGCGCAGGGTTGGGGGCGGGGGCGTTCACGATCAAGTCTTTAAATCAAGTACAATTCGGGCATATAAAACCATTACACCACTGATAATAGTTATCAACTATGTACAACACAATTGACTTTCGTAAAAAAGGCTTATCCTACAGACGAATCGAGAACGCAACCAAAAACATGAAGAACGTAATTTGATATATCAAATAAAGATTAAGTATATCAATCTGATAGGAGGTTAAAGTCCTAAATTGAAAGGATTAATCGACATGCTACCTTGCCATCTCCACCGTGATACTCGTATAGCTTAAGGCCTCCATGTGTACTACACCCGTGCCTTTCAATCTTTTAAGAAGATGTTTCATCGTGTGACTAAAATTTAGAAGATATCATATAAAAGTGTTACATGGGGTGTTCAGATACTAATAAAAAAATAAATTATAGAATCCGTTAGTACTTCACGAGACGAATTTATTAAGCCTAATTATTTCAGCATTAGCACATGTTTACTATAGCACCACATTGTCAAATCATAAACTAATTAGGTTTAAAAGATTCGTCTTACAAATTAGTTGCAAACTATGCAATTAATTTCATAATTAGTCTATATTTAATACTCTATGTCCAAATATATGATAGGACATCGACTTAAGTCTAGGACCAGCAACCAACACCCCCTAAATCTCACATGAATATATTAGTACACATGTGCTACCGTTAATTATAAAAGAAAACAAAGTTCTAGATGCTTTCATAGCGTCGCTGGCTTGTGGACGCACATCCCCGTCGCTGTCACTCGACTCGGGGGAGAGAAGAGACAGGATAGCGGCCACCACGCTTTACTCAACTCAGGGGAGAGAAGAGAGCCACCACGCTTTACTCAACTCAGGGGAGAGAAAAGCGAGAGAGAGAGCTTGAGAGAGAAGGGAGAGAGAACAGATATACTCCCTCCGTCCCATTGAGTTTGTCGTTGGAAAACCGTGCCCCCCTCACAATTCCGCTTCCCGAGCGACAATCTTAACGGGACGGAGGGAGTAGAGCCTTATCAGCATATAGGTACATGTGTAGACTTATATGAATATGAACGAGCTCTAAGACTGTCTCCAACCATGAGACCTATATATAGCATCCATTTATCTGGTTTAGGTGATACGCAGTAGAATAGGTGCCAACCTAAAACTTACGTTCTCAAACAGGCCCAACGCAAATCAGCTTCTTCCTCGCTCTCTCCGCCGCCCACCCATCTCCAAGTCCCCAGCCCGACGCCGCCTCCCCTCCCAGCCCCTAGCCCGACGCCCTCTCCCGTCCCCTCCATCCAGCGGCGCCCCGTCCCTCCCTTGCCCTCCCCATCCCGGCGGCGCCCTAGCCCGACGCCCTCTCCCCTCCCCTCCACGGCGCGCGGCGGTCGGTGCACAAAGCACGGCGGCGCTCCTTCTCCAGCACGGCGCGCCGAGCATGACGCGCCTGGGTTGGGGAGCACCGGGTGGCGCTCTTTCTCCACCACGGCTCCTCTCTCTCTCTTCCCTCTCCCATCTCAGGCGAGTCTGCCGCCCTGGGCACCTCGCGCCGGGATCCCGCTCCGGCGGCCCCGTGGCCGTCCACCCCCGCCCCATGCCTCCTCGCTCTGGCCCGGCTGGCCCCCGCTCGACGGCCGCCTCCTCCTCCTCGCCGCGCTCCTCCTCCAACACACTGGCGGCGGGCGAAGCCCGCCTCTGCTGGCGAGCTCTCGCTTGTCATGGTGTTGGGCGAAGCTCGACCCGACCAGTAGGCTTAGCGAAGCTTGGCCTGGCGCAAGGTGGCGAAGAAGCCCGGCCGGAGCTGCCGTGAAGCGAGCTCGGCAATTTGCGTAGCGAGGAGAGAGGAGACGCTTTTTTGCGTAGCGTTTGGGCGAGCAGGCAAAATGCGTCGGGTCTTTGGGTCTGCTGTTGGACGATGGATTCGGCTAGGCAAAGTACTGTGCCGGACCCATTTTGGGTTTGGGTCTCTTCATTGGAGACAGTATAAGATCCAAATAAAGATTAATGATTTGCAAATTTATTGACCGAGATCGGAACCACACATCCGAACTAGTTTGGGGAATGTTGGCGCACTTTACTCAAGTTTTCAATACTTCCCAAATGATAATCTACCTACTTTCAAAATGTTATGAATAATCATAGACACAACTTTAAAAGTTGAACAGTAGCTATACAAAACTATGTAATATAACGTTGCTCATATTAATTAAAATATATAACTAGATATACTAAAAACATTTTTCATTGTATTTAAAAAATTAAATCCATTTATTAAATTAAATATCATAGTCTTTATTATAGAGATAAGATTTAAATAATTTCAATGACACACCACTAATAATATTAAATATTATCATTAGTCATAAAAGTATCTATTAGATAGTAAAGTTTTCCACGGATATAATATCAGATATCATCTATCTTAGAATACGGATAAAGATTTAGATAGAGAAATAAATAAGAAAAAAGATAGGAAAACATTCATGTTTTTAAAATAATTTTTATTATAGTTTAAAAATTAAATCTATTAGTATTATTAATTTAGATATCATAGTCTTTATTATAGAGATAAGTTTTAAATAGTTTCAATGATACGCTACTAATAGTATTAAATTATTATCATTAGTCGTAAAAGTATCTATTGGATAGTTAAGTTTTCCATGGATATAATATCATATATAATCCATCTTAAAATACAGATATAGATTAAATAGAGAAATTAAAGAGAAGAAAGATAGAAAAGCATTCATTTTTTTTAAAAATAATTTTTGTTATATTTAAAAATCCAATTCATTAGTATTATTAATTTAAATATCATAGTCTTTATTATAAAGATAAGTTTTAAATAGTTTCAATGATACACCACTAATAATACTAAATGATTATCATTAGTCATAAAAGTATCTATTGGATAGTTATGTTTTCCACGAATAATATCAGATATCATCTATCTTAGAATGCGGATACAGATTTAGATAGAGAAATTTATAAGAAAAAAGATAGAGTAAAACACACCTATTTTTTGCTAGGATACTGTGTACTCTCTGTTCTAAAATAAATACATATTTTGTTTTCTAAGGAGTCCAACCTTTTAAAGATCGATAAAATACTTTATAAAAATGTAACAAATTTTATGATCTATAATAAATATTATTAGATTAAATATTAAAAATATTTTTATGATAAAATTATTAAAAAATACAAATATTAATACTATCTTTTATATTTATAGTTAAATTTAAAAAGATTTAACTCTTTGAAAAATGAAATGTCCGCCTCTAGTACGAGTTATGCTGACGTTGGAGGGAGATCCCGAGCGCCCGAGCGCGGCAGCCGGCAGAGCGAGAGGGAGTGAAGAGGGCAGAGGAGTGTTTGCTGCTTTGGGGGTGTTCGTTGGTCTGATGAGATCAGCCAGCCGGCCGGCTGATACCCCTCTCAAATTACTGTTCATCAAACTAATTAAACAGTATTTTTCTCTCACAACAAACCAGTCGGAACAATGTTTTTTTAGCCAAGAGCATGTTTAGGTGGCGAAATTTTTTGCAAAATGCACTGTAGCAGTTTTCGTTGTTATTTAGCAATTAGTGTCTAATCATAGTTTAATTAGACTTAAAAGATTCGTCTCGTGAATTTCGTCTAAACTATATAATTAGTTTTATTTTTACTTATATTTAATGATTAATACATGCGTCAAAGATTCGATGTGACGAAAAATCTAAAAAATTTGGCAAAATTTTCTAGAACTAAACTGTTTCAGCTAAACGACCGGGTTTTGCTTGCGTAGTTCACGCTCCCCTTTTTCGCGTGACGCGACGGCGTGATCAGAGCCGCAATAAAAGTGCGATGGAAATGACGAGTGGAGAGAGAGAGCAGTAAAAACGAACTGGCTGGAGGCCTGGAGTAGCACTGGAGCAGTAACCTCGCATCGCCGCAGCAGCCTGCGTGCCTGTGCGGCGGGAGAGGAGCGGCAGCAGCAGAATTGCAGACGCAGCGCAGCAGGCCAGCAGGTGGCCGTGCCGTGCGGAGTGTAGACCTAGGCCCTAGCCCAGGGAAACAGCCAACAGGGGATAGAGAGGACAAAATCGAAACGAGGTCGCTTGCGAAATGGGGCCCGGATGGCCGGATCAGTATTCGGTAGTGACGACAAGCGAGGCCTTGCCCCCACTGGCCGGCCCGCTCCGATTCTCTGAGCCCAATCCGGGAGAATGCTCGCTCGCTTCCGCACTCCTGGTCCCGGGTCCTCCGGGCCGCTGAGCAGTGAGGACCGACTGCACCCCGCCTGGCTGCGTGCGGCACTGCGGCAAATGCAGCCGTGCAGGCAAGTGTGCGTCCCACTTCCACACACTCACGGCAGCCAGCCAGCCTGCGCCGCGCTGACCTCTCCGTAGCCCGTAGCGCCGTAGCGTAGCGACAGGCCGAGCAGCGGTGCACTCGATCGATGCGCATCACGGCATAACTTTACGTGCACGATCGCCCACGGGATACAGAGCCTGCCCCAGCCAGGTCTTGCAGTGCAGGCACTGCCGCCATCAATGGCTCCTCTGCGTCTGCGTCTGCGTCTGCGTCTGCGCTGCCTGCATCTGCGTCCGTGCTAGAGGCCCGCCGGCCGGACTCGATGCCGGGAGCGCGGTGCCGGTGCGGGGTGGCTGAATCATGATGGTCCGCTACTGCCAGCCTGCCTGCCCGTTTATGTTGCCAAGGCGGAGGCCGGAGCCGGAGGGGCGACGCTTCTTTTGCCTGCGAGCGCTGGTCCAGTGCTCCGTGTGGACCGTGTCCCTTCCCTGATGACCAAAATCGGCGACCTTCCAGGCACAATCAATCAATGCATGGGGGTGGGGCTTCCAATTTTGTCATCGTCGAAAACCATGTTCTGAGCAGTACGATACCGTAGTGTACTACATTGAACAAGAAGGAAATGGTGACGTGTGATTTTGCCATATTCTAGTTGTAACCCAGAAGGAAATGGTGTAAAATCCTGCTGTCATTATCGCAAATAAAAACTTTGACATCCTCCCAAAAGTAAAAAAAACTTTGACATGCTCTTATGTTCCTAAATAACAGAGCAGTGCTCATGGTTCAGAAAATAAAAAGGAAGTTTGTAGTGCAGGATGAGTGTAGACAGGATTCATTCCTTTTGGTGCTTCTCAAATTTGACGTGATGATACTCCTTGCGTTGCTTATCTTTTTTTTTTCGTATTCTACGTTGTTTATCCTTGGAAGTTATATGTGCCACCAAGTCGACTAAGTCAACATTATACATTAGGATAGATTGTTTCCTTAACAATCCACGAACCAAAGATACCGGCAATTCACTTACACCCCCTCACTCTACAAAAGAATTTAATTCTCGTTTTTCGATGAGATAAACAGTTTGAGCTTTGACTAAATTTATATAAAAAATACTAACATTAATGATACAAAATAAGTACCAATAGATTAATTATAGAATATGTTTTTATAATAAATTTATCATTTGAAGACATAAATATTAATACTATTTACTATAAACTTTGTCAAACTTTAGTTAGACTGACTGACACAGATCTCATATTTGTATTCTTTTATCGATGGAGGCAGTACATCATAACAATTTTTTTAAAAAAAATACTCACTTAAGAAACAAGTACTAATAATACTGACAATTTACTTTAAATTATATTAATACATATTATGTTTGTTTGTGTGGCTTTTACCATTTCTATATTAGTATTGGCTAGTTGACAGATTGACTCTAGTTTCATAACTTTTTATAGGTTGGTTAAGTTAGAGCATCTCCAAGAATCTTTCTAAATGTAAGTTATTATTTGGAGAGTCATCTGTATAAAAATCGTTTTCTATATATTTTTGCTCTCCAACAGCTTTTCTATATCTTGTATACACTCTAGAGAGCCATTATCGCTATCTATCTCCATTACCATGACCTAGCTTAATTATCTCTGCAAAACACACGTTAGTCATAGTAATCTTGTATTGTCATTAATCACCGAAACCCAACAAAGGGGCCTAGATGCTTTCAATCTCTCCCTTTTTGGTGATTGATGACAATACCACCTCGAGTATGTGAAAGAGTTGAGGTTTTAAAACATGCTTGGATCATATAAGCTTTTGTCAATAAGAACAAAAGTGTTAGGCAAGCTTATATGACCCAAGCCATCATCATGTACTTAAAAGATATGAAATAAGCATGAGTACTAATCATGAGGCTCATTTGCAATAGAGTAAAGCACGGAAGCAAATCAAATGAGCATCATAAGTGATATGACATATAAAGAATTTGAAGTAGAGAGCACACATATCATATATCACAATCACGTAGATAACACTATCACATGGATATAAATAAATGCGTGAAAGTAAACACACGAATGCATAATAGTAATAGTGTATCACACATAGAAACTCCAAATGTCATAATATAAAGCTAATAATAATCTAAGCTCCCCCTAAATAGACGCTCCCCCTTTGGCGTCAAACACCAAAACTAAGGGTCGGTCGACGGGGCTGCAGTGGATGAGTCGGGCGCTGAAGTGCGAGGGGCAAGCTGGAACTAGGTGCCATCATCATCGACCACGAGCTCAGATCGACCGCCCTTCAAG